ATTATTTGATTTTTTAATGGATACTCCAGTTGATATATACCATTATTTGGAACCAAACATTGTCTCTAATCCAGTACCTAAAGACAAGTCTGGTCGTACTCCTCTTCATTATGCTTCTCGTTCTGATAATATTCGTATGGTACGTTATCTCATAGAGACCTTCCCCTGTACTCCTGATGATCCTGATAATAATGGATACACTTCAGTTCATGGAGCATGTGAAGCTGGTAGTATGGAGCTAGTACAATACTTTCTAACTGATCTCAAATGTAATGCACTAGCTGAAACTGATGATTGTAAAACCATGCTTTATTTTGCTAGTAAGAGTTCTAATTTAGAGCTTGTTCGGTTTTTAGTTGACGTATTCAGTTTAAAACCTCGTCCACACGATATTGAAATAGCTCAATCAGTTAATCCTGATTCATCAGTAGTTAAATATCTTCAAAAAATACATTTTGATTTATTCCTATCACAACAAAGCAAAGTGAGTGGATATTATGAGAAACTTGAAGGACAACAGGTTGACCCACTAGGACAAGATATTGTATCTTAAACACAACCTTATCACCATATTACCACCTTATCAGTCCATTGTATGTAACCTATCACCATATTACCAATACACCATCTTACTACAGCACCATATGTAACCTATCACCATTACACCATCATACCTATCCTACCACCTTACCACCATCTAACTACCTTACACCACTTTCATCACCATTACACCATATACCCACAATGATTACCAATATTACCAATCCTACGATATTGTATCTTAAACACCATCTTACCATTACACCTATCACCACCTTATCACCATCCCACCACCTTACATACCATTGTATCACCATTGTACTATTACACCATACACCAATGGCTACCAATATCACCTATACAATACTTGTGTAATATCTTAACTTGTATCACCATTAATCTTAAAGTGTAACTGCAGTGATTTTTTAGGGTATTTATTTTATGGTTTTAATATGATTGCCTGACCATAATAATGATGTGTTCCAACTCCTATTGTCTAAAAAAATTTATTCACTGAGATATGAGCCTTCAAAAATGCACTTTTTGCTTCCTTTCAATATACTTCCTGTCAATGGGTGTGGCTAAACGTGACGTCATAAGAGGCATAGATGCAGATAACTCCATTCCTTTATAGGGGGAAATGATCCTTTATTCTCATGCCTTGTGATGTAATAGCACTAATTTAAAGATTGGGATCATTAGATTTCATTATCCTAAGCATGCAACTACAAGAAAAAACTCCAAAAGAAGCAAGTAAGCAGATTTACCAGTGTGGTGTGGTAAGAGGCTTTGGTGGCTGTAGAGGTCCAACTCAGTTTAGGCATTTATAATTAAAA